CAGGCTTATCTATTCAAACAGTTAAAAGGTATTTTCCCAGTCTAATCTGAATCTTCTGTGAAGTAACTACTCTCTTTCACAACAACGGGCAGATATTCCACTGCATTGGAAGACAAGGTATTGTCTCTCTCTGAGTCTTCTCTAAATCTAAAAAACCCTTTAAGTGATTAGAAATAAGCCATTTTTTATAGTTTTCTGATTTTTTTCTTGTTCTTCTGACTCTTTCTATGACATTACATTTTATGAAATAAATTTTGTTTGGATTTCTGAGATTATATGATGTATTATCACATTTTCAGTGTTTTGGCAACACAAGGTCTTTAACAAGAATTTCAAGTGTCTAATCATTTACTTTCACCTCATTGTTAGCAGAAGCTCTAATGATTTTGCCTCATCCTCACTCCTACCTATACATAAAAGCTAAAAGTAAATGGTGCTTTAATTCAAGCCATGTGCCGTGTAAGTGCTGCAGTGAAAACAATGAAGAGGAATCTCCTTATAATATGGACAATATGAGACATATTCATGGAAAGTTTCACCAAGGTGAGTAAGGGCAATTAAAAATTTGTGGTCTGCAAGTGAAACAGCCCTCAAAAAGCCTTTGATGCCTTTGCCTTTGTTGGCCAAAATTGACGATTTCTGATTGTTCACTGACTAACTGAAGACAACACAAAGGCAGTAATCAATAGGGAATGAATGTTGGCACTCCCAGGGAATGAATGTTGGCACATCCCTTTGTTTATCATTTCCTTCATCCCTTTCCAAAATGGATATTTTTCTCCTGGAGAAGAATACTATTTACACATACTCATTTGTAATAAGGCATGTTTCTGCATCTGTTGTAACTTGCATTTTCTCTAGCTGCTGTTTTATGTGATATCTAACACCAGCCACTGTGCTATCTCAGCTCCAGTGAGAATTCAGTACAAATACAAGCAAGCATATACACATGCACTTGCACACTTCTGATCTGCCTTTGACTGAAACAAATAAAAGTATTTGAAATAATCTGGAAGCATTCAAGGTGATAATGCACAATTAATGAAAGTGATACTGTGAGATGTAGAAAAATTGTGCAGTAATGCTATTTTGCTGCAGTAAGTACAACTTACAGGTTTATCTGGTAAATAATGTTTGGGATTAATGTGTTACTTATACCTAGTCATGTACTTTCAGACAGCTGAAGTTAAAAGGGCCTTACAAATGGAGGAGAAAGCTGTCAAGAAATCTAAACAATTTCTAATTTCATAATTGTCATAGGAAAATATAGATATTATATAATTTAGTATTTTTAATTAAAATATGCAACTTGCTATTATGTTGCAAAGTACATTAGTCATTTCAGTATTATAACAATCTTTACATTCCCCATACATCAGAATCTGCTTGTCATTTTACTTTGTCAAAAGTAGTTGGAAACTTACACTTCAAGTTAGCCACACGTTTCAGTACCACACTGTCTGAAATATCCAATAATACAGAAACATCAAATGCAGGTGAGGTAACAGGAGGCTTGTTAGGGGCTCTGGGATCTGTAACAAGTGAGAGCTTTCCAGAATTCGCATCTTTTGCTTCTGGATCAATCCCTGTATAGGCTTTTTCAAATAGCTTTGCCTGATTAATTGTCATTGGAAACCCATCCACAATCCACCCCTTCTCTGGTGGTGTTTGGCTGAAAGTAAATGAAGAACCAGAATTATACAGTGAATTGATAGCATAATCATAACTCCTAAAGAGCTTGCCCTAGCAGTCTTTCATTCTGAATTCAGTATATTAAATATCCTGATGAATACAGAATATGACAGACATAATTAAAATTTAAACTGTAAAGCAATAGATTTTTAATCAGAAAAATAACATCAAGCCTAACTAAAAGTGAAAAAAAGCAAAAACAAAACAATTTTTGCTGTCTTGATAAATAAAGTTTTCAAAAACGCTCTCTATACAGACTATGATCAGAGGTGTAATTTCACTGTTTTCTCTACTAACTTTTGCACTGAAGTAACAAATAGCAAAATCTGTTTTGTAACTTTAAATATACTAATGGGAGTAATATAACTTAAATGATATTCATGTGGGAACTTAAGTGCTAATTGCATATCAGGGTAGTTGAGACGATTTTTTGTCAAACAAGAGTAGACAAAAATAAGTAACCTAACTGCTGAAGTATGAATGCTTGGATTATGCACTTCACAAAATCTAAAAGAAAAAATACTAGCACGTGCTGAATAGCTTCCAACTAATAAACAAAATAGAGACATTAGTTATATTTAATGACTATCCAATAGTCATGTGTATATTTTTACTTACCTTCAGTTGGTGTACAATAATGTCTGTATAATTTAGGGCCAGGCTCTACTGCTAGCATTCTACTGCTAGCATAAAATGAGCATTAACTAACTAACTAATTAGCTCCACTTTCCAAGTAGAAGACTCCAGTGTTCAAAAAATACCTTAATAAAGAGAAATGGCTGAATCTGGACTACAAGCTGGATAATTACATTCTAAATAACTGAAGAATAAAAGCTATACAATTTCATACTTAATGGCTTCCAATAGGATGTCAATTAGTAATTCATCAGGAATACTTTTTCCTTTCTTCAACAATTTCTGTGATGCGGCGCCAAGCTGGGCACGGACAGATAGCTGTGGAAGAGTGCAGCATAAGACTAATATGCTCAGAATGTTCACAATATTCACTGTTAAAAAGAGTGTGATTCTACTTTATATATCATATAATATTTAATTATTTATTTATTAAAAGTTAATGTTTATTGTGTTATTTATTTATATTTAATATTTATTATTATCTATTAAGGAGAAATAGTTTCAACTGATGTAAAAAAGGCCTAATTTAATTGAAATCGCCAACTGATTTCCATCATTACACCCGTGAAAATGCCAGACAGAAACGAGGTTGAGAAACAAAGGATATGAAGGCCAAGAAATAAAAAATTAAGTGTCCTGCTTCTAAGCTTATTCTGATTTTCAGTACCATAAATCCACTGATGGTTTCGTACAGCAGCATTTAACTTCATTAATTCTACAGGGATTCTTTTATATCTTAGCTTTTGAAGTATTTTCCAATGAGCAATAAAGTCAAAGAGATCATTGTAGAATTAAGTATTTTTCAACGTAAAGAAAAGAAACCTTGTCATGGGATGAATGATCTGCTTGGCAGCAGCAAGATCAGGAATACATTTTTGCTAATTCAGGGACGGCATAGAAAGTACCATATCTTACGTAAATGTGAGATTTAACAAGAAGATATAGAACTTTAACAATACGTACAATTCTAACAAACATACACAGGAATAGATTTTCATAATAAACTCTTTTCATATTTCATACAGAAATGCTTGCAGTGAGGTCAATAAATTAATTCAGAATTATGAAAGAGCGTCACCATTTAAGTAATTTAACCATTTTAACTAATGCATCTTTATAAAGTAGAAGCTAAAATTGGATTACAAACCTCGGATAGGCCACCTTGACTGTTATCTGATTTAAATTCTTGCCCAGATGGATCCTTTTTGACAGGACAATTGCCTAAAACAGGTAAATTATAAAGTTTGACAATTCTATAATATTTATTACTATAGAAAAATAATAAAAGTATATGCCTCATTATTGTTCTTTGAACAAATCAATACAGAAGGTATATACAATCGTTACAATCATAGGATCATTGATTAATTCATGTTGGAAGCAGCTTCTGGAGGTCACCTAGTTCAAGTTCAAACTTCTGCTCAAAGCGGCATCAGTTAAAAGCTCAGACCAGGTAGCTAAGAGACTACGCTACCTCTCCAGGCAATTTGTTTCAATGCTTGATAGTTCTCATGGCGAAAAGGCCTTGTCTTATGTCTAGTCAGAAGGCCAACAAGAAGGGCTTTTACAGGTATCTCCACAGCAAAAGGAAAGCTAGGGAAAATGTGGGCCTGCTGAAAGACATGCAAAAGACTGAGCTATCCCAAGCCCCTGAGATTAGCAGGAAAGTCTGCAGGAAGAAAGATTTACCCTTGGCCTTCTCTGTGTTGGTCTACTCTACTGGTAAAACTCGCACTCAGAAATTCCAAGCCCCTGGGACTAGCAGGAAAGTCTGCAGGAAGAAAGATTTACCCTTGGTGGAGGAGGATCAGCTTAAGGAACATTTAAATAAACTGGAAATACACAAGTCCATGGGACATGATGGCATATACCCACCCGTGCTGAGGGAGCTGGCAGATGTGATTGCTAAGCCACTCTCAGTAATCTTTGAAAAGTCCTAGTGATTGGGAGAGATTCCTAGGACTAGAAGAATGCAACTGCCACTCCTCTCTTCAAGGAAAGCAAGAAGGGGGAATTGGGGATGTACAAGCCAGTCAGCCTCACCTCAGTCCCTAGGAACTGATGGAAGAAATAAGCATGGAAACCATTTCCAAGTATATTAAGGACAAGGAGATGACTGGGAGTTGTCAGCATGGATTTATGAAGGGGAAATCATGCCTGACTAACCTGACAACCTTCTACAATGAGGTGGCAGGCTCAGTGGTTGAGAGAAGATCAGTGTATGCTGTTTACATTGGCTTTTGACACTGTCTTCCTTAGCATCCTCATAGACAAACTGATGAAGTACAGACTAGGTAAGTGGACAGTGGTGGACTGAAAACTGGCTGAACTGCCAGGCTCAAGGGGTTGTGATCAGCAGCTGACAGTCAGTGATTAGTGGTGTAGCCCAAGCGATGATTCTGAGAACAATACTGTTTAACATCTTCATTAACGACGTGCATGATTAAGACAGAGTGCACCCTCAGCAAGTTTGCAGATGATATAGAACTGGAAGGAGTGGTTGATACACCAGAAGTTTGTGCTGCCCTTCAGAGGGACCTTGATGGGCTGGAGAAAAGGACTGACAGGAATCTCATGAAGTTCAGCAAAGGAAAATGCTTCTGGTGAGGAGAACCCCATGCCTTCAGTACCAGCTGGGAGCCGACTGTCTTGAAAGCAGCTTTGCAGAGAAGGGCCTGGAGGAGAACAAGTTGACCATGAGCCAGTAATGTGCCCTCGCAGCAAAGAAGGCCAACATTAAGAAGATATGGCACTGGTGAGACCACATCTGGAGTGCCGTGTCCAGTTCAGGACTCCCCAGTGCAAGAAAGACACAGATATATTGGAGCAGGCCCAGAGAAAGACCCTGATGATTACTAAGTCCATGGGACATGGACTGGGAGTATGAGAGGCTGAGAGCTGCGACTGTTCAGCCTGGAGAAGAGAAGGCCTGAGGGGAATCTTATCAATGTGTAGAAATATCTGAGGTGGGGAAGGGAGTAAAGGAAACAGTAAAGAGACAGATTCTTCCTAGCGGTGCCAAGTAAAATGACAAAAGGAAATAGACACAAACTGAAACGCAGGAAATTCCATTTAAACATAAAAATATTAACTGTAAGGGTTATGGAATATTGGAACATGTTGCTCAGTGAGGTTGTGGAGTCTCCATCCTTGGAGATGTTCAGCATCCAACTGAACATAGCCCTGAACAACCTGCAAACGACCTTGTTTTGAGGAGGAGGATGGGACTAGGTGATCTCCAGAGGTCCCCTCCACCCTCAATCAGTCTGTGATTCTGAGTTGAGGTAGCCAAGCCCAGTGTCAGTTCCTTTGTTGATAAGATCTGTTGTAAAGAAAGATAAAGTGAGGGGAGGTGAGGGCTTGCCCTTCCTTCCTTTGGAAGCTGCTTTTAAGTTGAAGCTCTCATCCTGGACCCTGCCCGTGGTACACTATAGCTGTGTAGCAGCCATGTCTGCACCCCATATCCTGTCTCCTTGATTCTGACCCTGATCCACACCTGCTGACTCGAGTTCCCGGCTTGACCTCAGACTTGCTTCATTGGCAGAATTGCTGGGTTACCACCAGACTGAGGTTCACGCTGCTCAATGTCTCTGGACCCGATAGTGACCCTGACTTCAGTCAATATCCTCACTCTGTTGGTGAATGTTGGCACTTCCTGCTTTGCTATTGCCCGTCATCTAGATCACCTTCCTTCATGGAGCAGCCTGCACTTGCTGCTCCAAGACACTAGGAATGTGTGGAAAAAGGAAATTCATAATGGAAACTACTGTGAAAACTCAGATGTCATGGATACTACCTCAAATGTACAAGAGAAAGGGGAATTGCCATTTAAATCTAATAAGATAATAATTAAAATTAAATTTTATAAATATATATACATATATAAATAAAATATATACATACCTTTGGTTCCATTGATAGGTGTTTCTGTTTGGAGTTTCTTTAGAACTTTCAGTGGTGATTTTGATAAGTTCTTCTGGACCTTGTATCAATTATGAAAGGAAATGGATTAGAAAGGAAACTACATATTACAGGAAAAACAAGCCTGTCAATTCAAGCTGACTCTTGAAGTCTTGTAAATCAAAACTTAGAATTAAGTTTGAAATTGAGTAAAAAATTGATACAATATGCTTTCTTCCTTATATAGTTCATTCTCATCTCCCTGTGGGAGCCAAACCCAAAATTAACAAAAATGCTTACCTCATTTTGTTCCCCAGAACTCTCTGCTTCTTGTGGAATCACATTGTGTTCACTTTTCATTTCATTTTTAAGAAAAGCTTGGATGGCCTCCTGAACCAGTGTATCAACAGATAGTACCTGAATATTGCAAACTAATACACAAAAGAATTAGATAACTTTACAGTTTGAGTTGAGCATACATACAGAGGGACTATTACTGGCAATTAAATTAATGATTTCGTTTGGGCTTTTGATGCAAGTTTTTTCCACTGTCTCTTCTCTGTAACCACCGCACAGTGTGTATACACAATCACATAGAGATCTTACTAGTCTCTTCTATAACAAACATCCCCAAAGAAGTTTGCCAAAAGCACTTTCAAATTCTCAATGCAGAAGTAATACTATATTAGCACTATATTCAAGTTCAGGTGTTTTTAATGTTATTTTGGAAAATAATGAATGAATGACTTGCAACCAACCCCTGCAAAATACAGATGCATCTGAGGTTCAAGGATTAGTAATGCAAGGATTTGCCCAAATGATTTTCATTGTAAGAGTGGGATTTTAATGCAAATAAACATTTTTAAGAATTTTAGACAAAAAAAAAAAAATCTACCTTTTTCAATAAACTTTACACAGGTAGTTTTTCCACTAAAAATTTTTCCCAAAATACATCCCTTGACAGGAAATGGAGGAAATACAGGTGGTGAAGATTTGGGTTTTGGAGGATAGAAAATCTCCATCAGTCTACGAAGCACATGACCCAATACGTTATTATTAAGAGGAGGTTTGTTTTTACTGTTCTCTTCAGTTGGGCACCATTCCCCTGTCATACTCTGTATAAATGACAAATTACCGAATAATTTGTGAATATGCCTTGTCTTTCATCTTTCTAGATATATGTATTTATATACAAACACAATACATACAATAACCAAATCTGAACATTACTAAATAATAAAATATTTTTTAGAATAGACCCGTGTTAAAAGCTATAATTATGCCACAATCATTAAGCATTTATTGATATTCACTAATACCTGGTTGAGAGAGACAAGTGCTCCTACAACCATTTTCATAGATTCCTAGAATATTTTTTTTTAATTCCATAAATATGAAAAATCATTTCACCAATACCACAGAATGAATCAGTAGCAGATTTTTGGAATAGAAGCCCAGTATCCTAATATTCATCATTCTAAAAACTGGGCAACATTATTGCCCAGTATCACACATAAATCTTTGAGAATTTTTATGGACAAAGATTTCAAATATAATACATATTCAATAGAGAGAAAAAAAACCAAAAACCAACAACCCAAAACAAAGAAACCACCATATAATTCAAACAATTTTAATGGAATGAAATACTGAGTAGAAACTTCCAGTTCATCTACTCTGAGACCAATATAAATTTATCAGTGGTATGAGTTACCAGCATACTGCTTAATGAGGTTTTGCTAGTACAGATACTTATACTGACAATCACATTGGAAGAAAGATGAAATGGAAGGATATAGTCAAAAGAATTGTACACAGAATTGTGCTTTTGCCACTCTAATATATACTCTACCAGTATTGGATCTTATGACACTAAGAAAGTCCTGATGTGCAGTTTATGCTATGAGAAGCTAAAAGAGACCATTTTAGTACGCAGAATAATACTAGTCCTGTATTAATTATTAGTTGGTTGCAGGCTGTTTGGAAGATATATGGACTAATAATATTCCTAATTAGATTCTAGCTTGTCACCTCATTTGGGGTGCACGATAAAGGGTTGAGAGGCACAGTCAAATGTTTCAGCAAGAGAAATTCCAACTAGGAAAAAAAATGAAGAAAAAAATGTTCGCAATGGGAGTGGTTAAGCACAGGAACAGGTTGTACAAAGAGTCTGTGGAATCTCTATCCTTGGAAATACTTGAAAGCTGACTAGACCAGGTGCTGAGCAAACTCATCTGACTCAAGAGTTGGCCCTGCTTTGAGCAAAGAGGTTGAACTAAATGACCTCCACATCCCTTTCAACCTAAACAGTTGTATCATTCTATAAATTAAATATTTAATCGCCATCAACAGAAGCAACCAGTTTCAAAGTTTTGCTGAAAGATAATGTTTTGAATTCATGTTCCAGGTAGAATATGCAACCTTTTCCTGAACTTACTATCATGAATGATATATTGCCACAGCATACATTCTACTAACAGAACTTGATCAGTGTTGACTTTGAACATACGTGCATTAGATAGAATAACACAACGTAACTTGTTATCACTCTAAATGAAAATATCATCTATTTTTAATCAGTAAAAATGAACAAAAAAAATCTTGAGTTGCACAATATCCCCTCTCCACTATATCTCATAAGATGGACTTCTTAACATGTAATTGAAAAGACATGCTTAAAAACAGCAAATCCTTGTCTTATCTGAACCATTCTTCCTTAAACATATAAGTAGAGATGGATCAGTTGTTTTAAATTCTATCAGACCTGTAGGAAAAATTAATTCCAAATGGAATTGGCTCCCCATTTGAAGTACTCACCTTTCAGATTCCTTGCCCTTTTAACCAGAAGATTGCTAGACTGTGTCTCTCTTGAGCTAAAGTAGCTTACCTGTCAGAAACAAGTTTTCAGGTATCCAGGTGAGAGTTATATAACTCCCGGTAAACACTCTCGATCGAAACTGGAAATTATTTGATATTTTGAGCAGTGCCTACTGTTATGCTTGTTTTGGGTGATTCCATTAATTTATTAAGTGATTAGCCACAGCTGATGATCTGATACTTTCCAAATATTTTCAAGCTCAATCTAATGTGGAATATGCAACGGACTGAGAGCACTGTATTTTGTTCTTGTATTTTATCAAGTATATTTGAAACTTTTAGTCAGTATTCCTAATGTAAACTTAGTATTCTTGAGAGATGCCAAATTGCCTGTACTGGGCTTTTTTCTCAAGGGTTAAGAAAATCAGCATAAACTTTGCCAGAATGCCCTGCCAATACACTTTTATCTAGAAGCAATACTTTGAAGGTATTAGCTGTTCATTTAGGTTTTTAGAAGACATATGTATGAATTGGTGCCAACAATTTTACACATCATATGATACCAGCATTTGATGAATACTGATTCAGAAAGGCATAAGACTAACAACATCTGGAAAAACATTAATTATGTGAATGTGCATTTGAAACAGACTGGTAGCAAAAAAGAGGCTTTAAATGTATCATTAAATGTTTGTGACCTTCGGTGCCCTTACATCTAGAGAAGACTACTGAGACCTTGTAATATAAACAACAATATGGCTAAAAAACTTAATTTTTCATTAGTGCTCCCCACTAACTGTTTCCTGCCTGTCTGTCCTGTATGTCCTCCCTGTTGGTCTTGTATATACGCCTTTTTTCACCTAAAGAAAGCGATCACGAAATTCATTACATGAGTTGATATGGTCTGAACAAGGAGCTTATAAATAGATAGACCAGAAAAACATATGTTAAGATTGAAACCAAAGTAAATTGAGCTGTCAGGCATTCATCACAGAAACTCATAACAAATATTTATACTCATTGCAAAAGAAAATGTAACAATTAGAATCATATAATCATAGAATCATTAAGGTTGGAAAAGACCTCATCGAGTCCAACCGTCAACCCAACACCACCATGCCCACTAAACCATGTCCCTAAGCGCCGCATCTACACGTCTTTTAAATACCTACCAGGGATGGTGACTCAACCACTTCCCTGGGCAGCCTCTTCCAATGTTTAACCACTCTTTCAGTAAAGAAATTTTTCCTCACGTCCAATCTAAACCTCCCCTGGTGCAACTTGAAGCCGTTTCCTCTCGTTCTTTCGCCAGTTACTTGGGAGAAGAGACTGACACCCACCTCGCTACAACCTCCTTTCAGGGAGTTGTAGAGCGCGATGAGGTCTCCCCTCAGCCTCCTTTTCTCCAGGCTAAACAACCCCAGCTCCCTCAGCCGCTCCTCATAAGACTTGTTCTCCAGAACCCAGCACCTCATAAGACTTGTTCTCCAGAACTCCACACTCCAGCACCTCAACGTCCTTCTTGTAGTGAGGGGCCCAAAACTGAACACAGTATTCGAGGTGCGGCCTCACCAGTGCCGAGTACAGGGGCACGATCACTTCCCTGCTCCTGCTGGCCACACTATTTCTGATACAGGCCAGGATGCCACTGGCCTTCTTGGCCGCCTGGGCACACTGCCGGCTCATGTTCAGCCGGCTGTCAATCCGTTAGTTCAGGATGTGGATAAAAGCACATATATATTGTAGTTATAATTTCCCAACAAGTCAAAGACAGGTTATTTGCCATGATTTTGCCATATTCTAGTTTAAAAGATTATTTGAAAAGACTAAATATGTAACAGGATTTTTTTTTTCAAAGAAAAGTATCATAAATGTAATTAGGAAAAATTGTACAATACATTTCAACAGGGAAACATTCATCCTTCATCTTTCACTTGTGAAATTACATTAATGTATTGTAAAGTTGAAGAAAAGTTTTAAGGCACCCTGAAAAATAGTTACTTGTATTCTAACAGAAGGTTAACAAAAAGATCAGCTATTTTTAATAATTTTCACAAACCATCTTAAAATAAATAGATCACTCAAAATCTTGTTAGAAAGCTTTCACTCAAAATTGCTGAAATTAAGACTATCAGGTTTTGTAACAGATGGAGTATTTCATGCTTTTGCTGGCCACTTTCTGTTGCATTTTCAAACATGGTAGCATTAACCACACTTTCAAATACCAATTAGCTAAAAATTAATTGCATTGCAATTAACATGTTGGTCCTACGAACTCAAGAGAGAAATATAATCAATGTCATATACAAGAATGAAATTATAACAGTTTTAAAATTGCATGAGTTCTCCAGTGCTACTAACATAAAATATAGCCATATATTTCATATAGAACTTCAGGCAATGAAAATAAAATGCATGTCAAAATTGATATCAGAAACTAGTAAAAGAACAAAATGAAACATCACAACAAAATGTTTATGATTATGAAAAATCAAGGTGTATTATATTCCATTATGTCTTATCAGTTCGATGTACCTTGTATTCACCATAATCTTTTTCATCTAACAGATTCATTTTATTCAGCTCTACAAGTTGTTCTGGGCTTGGTTCATTTGGCAAAGGTTGAATTGAGGCTTGTTCATACATTGGTTTTCCATTAAAAAAAAATTCCTTCCAGTCAAGCACCAGTTTTAATGGAATTCTGCTACAGAAGAAAAAAAAAAAAAGAATGAGTTCCAAAACAAAAATTAAAGGGGTAAGATATTTGAGAATAGTGGACCCAAATTTACAAGAATCACAATCGTGAAACAAGCATATGCTAAACTAGATATAGTTTATAACGCTTTCTATAATTATTACAGCTTTTTATAAGTGCTTGGTTACGTATATGACAGCTGTAGGCACCTGTAGGCTTCAGTATTTTCACAAATGTGTCATCACACAGTATTTGTCTGGCAGAGCTATGTAGTAACAGTTTTGCTATAGCTACTTTTCCCTGCTCCAAAATATTCTTCCCTTTAGTGGGGTAAAGCCTCCTCTCGCCAAAAGTGTATAGAATTTTTTCCTGGAAGCTAAAATTAATTTAGAATTATATGAGTAATTAAACTCTTTTTTTTTTTCTTTTAGAAAGGAAAAATATTTATATGAAACAACAAGACAAACTGCATATAGTAGCAAGCTAAATACAAACAGGATGCTGACATATGTCACATTAGAATTCTATGGCTGCTAAATAAACAATATCGATAATAGCTTAAATTTAACAAATGGTCAAAATTAAAGTTCCTACTGTTTCTTAAGATTACATCAATTTGGACTTTCTTTTTTGTAGTAATGATTGCAGATGAGTGTTATAGCTTTAAACTCTGCTGTTCAAAAATAATTGAATACCTATTGTATGCATCCTGCACAATACAGTGCACAGAAGGACAGGCAAAGCGTACCTATAGTGGCAGTAAATGCAGATACAACCTTGATATGCATACTTTGGAAAGATATTTCAAATATCTGTACACCACTCAGTACAAGCAAATGTGACTCTAGCTTACACTGGAACCATGACTGTGTCAGACAAGGAAATCATCAAATCATCACTAAACTGTGACTAGGCTGACTATTTTATCATGTACTTACTGGGCCTAAATTCACATAATTTCCATAAAATGTAATCATATGTATTTCATATGGTTACAGCTTTATTATTTCAACATACAATTACACTAAAAGGCAATGAAGATTTTGGCATATTTTCGAATGCTGTAAGCCTTACTCCATAGTCTAATCACTGAATAGTAATGAAAGAACAGCAGTAACAATGCCCCACTCTGTGGTTTTGGAAACAGTCCTACAGCACAGGCACTTGGAGGTTACTGCCTTGTTAGGACTTTCTCTGAAACTCTAGTGTGCATCTGGGGACATCAGAAGAGGGAATCCCAGCATGTAGGACTCGGAAGATTTTGGACTTAGGAAATTCATTCTGTTTATATTACGCTAAGGAAGTGTTTGGCTAGTGGAGCAACCTACAATGAGATGAGCACCACTCAGTTTTTAATTTTTAAACTAAGAAATTTGTTCATAAAAAAGGAAATCAGTAGTTCCACAAGCTGTAGAACTAGTGCATCTTGGTCTCCTAAGGATTCAAGTTAGCCGAGTTTTCAAGAAATTGTGCTAAGGCTTTAATATTAGTTCACCTTGTATTACACATCACATGAAAGTAATATCATCATTTTCCCACACAAACTAATTAGACCTGTCCTGTAAGATATCTGAGAATCTACATAAAATGTTATGGTGCTTAAACCAGTCTGAATAATGAAGCCTAACAGCTGTTATTTCTTCCTAACAGCTACCATACTCACTTGTTTGTCAGTAGACGATATTCTCCTACTTTTGTTGACAAATCAATGATTTGGTTGATCACTTCCCAACATACAGAATAATGCTTTTTATAACGTGCCTGAGCTCTTTCAACAGCAATTTTCTCATGACGTTCTCTTTCTTTGATAATCAGTTCTTCATAATCAATCTTTTCTTGTTTTGCAAGAGCCTAGAATTTTTTTTAAAGGGTAAATTTGATATTGCAAAGAAAATGGAAGTGCAGAAGTGCACAGTCCTGGAAACAAAAATGAACTTGCTCATTTAAGTCAAGAAATGAAAACAGCTAGATTCTCACCAGAGCTGAATAGCCAGCAAGCAGATTAACACATAGACAAATCTAAAAATTTTTATTCATTCTATAAATTCCAGTTTGTTTGCTTTCTAACTGCTAAAATATCATGAAATAAAGGAGAAAGATATTAATTCTTTCATGACAAACAGATTAAGAACATATTCAGTGCTTAGGAGGCAGGGGAACATGAAATGATGCTGTCTACAACTATGGAACAACTATGCAGATGCATTGGTAAAGGCTTAGTTCCACTGAAACCCACAATGGAATACTCATTTAGAATATGCAACAAGTAATTTAACTTACAAGATTCTGATCTGAAAATAATTTGATATTATTGATGCTGTTCAATCTTTGACAAAGATCTGTGGTCATGGTAGAACATTATCAGTAGTTCCTGTGATGATGTGTTCCTTTTGGCCAAAAGTGTACTTAAAGAGATGTTGTAATCAATAACTATAGCTGCTGATTACATAGGACTCCGGCTGTGTTGGAGGATTTGGAGCTGCTAATTGTTTTTGGCAGGAGCAAAACAAGATTTCTACCATCACATTATGGCCTACTATGAGTGCAGCTCTTGGCAGTTTGCAACAGGGTTATGAGTTCTTTTAATTTATTAATCAACTCCAAGCTCTAAGGTAGAAATTAGCACACGAGTGAAACTCCTCCAGCATTTGTCAAAAATAGATGTTAACAGATTACACCTAAAGGAAATGAAAAACATATTCCTTGAAACAAGATCTTATGTCATTGTTTTTTGTCATTTTGCCTCTGCAAGACTGTGCCTTTTAAACTCAGCATACAGAGATGTTTTCCTACAAAGTTAAAATTAGTTTGGAAGATCAAAATTAGACTTCAACTTGCTCAGCTTTATCCCTTATTAACTTAGCTATAACTTTGAACCTAGATAAAAGAATATATTCATCATTAAATTACCCTGTCCCTAGAAAAGTCCTGAATTCTAACAGTTGACAATACAAATTGATTTTATAACAGGAAGGTACTGTAACAGTCCTGCAGCAATTCAGAGAGCAAATAATCTTTTACCGCTTCTCTATCAAGAGCTTCTTGGAACTCTTTCAGTCGTCTTTCTTCATATTGTTTTTCCCTGAAAATTCTGTTTTGCCTTAACACCTCTTTTTCATGTCGAACATGCATGAGTTGAACAGCAATCCTTCGCTCCTGCTGAGATTGTCTCATTAGTCTGTAAATAAGTTGCTCCTCCCGGTAAGCCTCCTAAAAGATAAAAAATAATAGTTTTAAGCACAGCTTATAAACTATTTCATAGACAACTCATCAGTATCTCATACGAGAAATATGAATGGAATCTTATAACAGCATTTACCTGCTCATTTTATACATAAATCTGTAACAACATACATACCTATTTATGAGTTCTATTTTTGTAAACTGTATAAGAATTGTAGAACTATAGAAGTGAATTCTAAATATGTCTTAACTAAGATACTCAATAAAAATATATTTGTTCAGATTATCTCAATTTTAACTTGGATGTTTCCTGTCTGCAAAGAAACTGCAGCATATTTCAAATAACTGCTTCTGTATGTAAAGATATACCCTTTTCTCAAATCATTAACTTAGCCCTGCTCTTCACCAGTCCCCATTCTCAGCCATACTCTGCTGGATCCTTGATGACTCTATTCTTCTACACGTTTGAAATTTTCCTTCTTTCTTGGGATTTGGGTAATTACCTCCTCCATTCTCCTCCATTCAGGAGACTGGGAATATGGGGAAGTATTCAGAACAGAGGAAAATACAAGACTTTTAGGTAACAGTTTCAGTGTTCTCACTGGGATATGAATAGAATCCCCTATTCAGTGCCACAAGAGAATCATTCTGAACCATTGCTTGAAGCATGGTCAGCATGCACAGACACTTTGAAGGCTGTGGACTGTTACTTTTCAAAGTACTTGTCAAAACACAATAGTATCTTCTCACTACTACACTTCTCTAGACTATTCTTGGTATCTAAACTAATGCTTAACCTAACCGGAAGTTTTGCCTCACTACTTTCACAGTCCAGAACTACTTTTGAGTTCTAAGCAAAAGCATCAGCTTGCCTTTCAAGCCCCATTGCCAAATATCACTCCTACAGCAGAATTTTAGAGGAAATTTCTGATTCCCTGGACATTTGTTTCAGATGCAGCAAAACTGCTATGAAATGTACTCGAATTTAAGGACCTAAATTGGGAGCTGATCTGAAGATTTCAAATTCATTTTCCTAAGAACAGAGGAACAGGTAAAGCCAGTTAGTAGTAGTACGAAAAACATTCAAAATAAAGTATCACTTCTATTTTCTTTTAATCTGGTTTATTTTCCACCAGCTGCCTGTGACAGAGAGGGCAGAACACATTACATAAATTCACCTATAAATGAAACATCAAACTTTATTACATAGTATAATACTATTTATGAAAGAACTTGACAAAGAGGTCCAGATCTGTGCTACACAATGCAACCAGGACATCTGTAATAGAGTTCTAACACAAAGCTGCAAAACATGGCTATTTTAATTGCAATAATAAGAACAACAACTTTCTAATTAATTTAGATCTTTAACACTGATGTTAGGGAGATGCCAATAGTTTTCAAACAAAATTATTTCCATATTTTTAAGTTTCTTTCCCTTTACAATTGCTGGGAATAAAGTACATTCCAATTAAATACTGGTGACCTGAAAAGACTAAGCTGATATAAAAATCCCTCAACATTTTGCTTATTTTAGCCAAAATGTGAGCTTTGCACTCCCCTTTCCTAGCACTGAATCTCATGACACTGCATGATAGTTCTAATGGCAAAGATGTGGTCATTTCAGGCTTTAATCCCAGAATGCTTCACCTGCTCACAATATTGCCGCTCTACAAAGCTTATCACAAAATGAGGATCTAATTTTGAATGTGTTTTGGTTTATACTCTATTTGTAGTGTACTGTTTGTACACTATTTTTCTATGCACAGAATTATCATCATGCATGCAACTGAAATGGAAAACAATGCAATAGTAGCAACTTGATATGCACTTTATATTTTCATATTCATGTTATATGTCATTTGATATAGTTCAGGTGATAAAATTTTCCAATAGCATGGCCTACTGAAGAGTTAATCTGTCCATTTACCTCTTACATTCATGAAGTCAAGGCAATAAAAGGAGACATGATGCCCGTTGCTGCTTCAGTTCTATCCATTGCTTCTTTGGACTCAGTATTTTATTAAGATTTCAAAGAAGAGCAGAGGATGCACAGACTTTGTTTCTTATTATAAGCAAATACTCTTCATTGTTTTCTTTAGTTGCAACTGCTTATCCTCAACCATGGTTTAGTACAGCAATAAGTACTCCACCAGGGGAAAATGGATCTTTAAATCCTAATTCACAGAAGATTGAAGGAGCCACCCCAACAGAGTGGTCATTTGTCATACTCAAACCATCAACTGTATGGTGCAAATAGTTGGCCCAGCAAGAAATCAAAGCACCTCATCTAGGTGAATGCACTTTTCATAAAGGAAATGGGAAGATGCTCCTTTAGAACACTTCAGAGCTGCCAAAAGACACCTTTTCTTTGTTAACTAAAGGGTAGAGAACTTCGATATTCTAAGTGATCAAATATTTTGACATGCTGAGTAGGCCTAAAAAGAGCCAGCAGGAAATTTTTGAGGAACAAGAATATATGAAAAGGCAATTAACTCAGAGCTACACAATGGATAAATCAGGATTCAGAACACCAAACTCATAATTTCAAAACGGGTGCTTATTGGATAGGGGAGTGAAGCATTGGCAGCTATCCTTCACACAAACAGGAATGGGCAAAGTACTAAAACCTGAGGTTGAAAAGTTTTGAAACTTGGGCATACTAGAAGACAAAATAAAAATAGTAGTACAATTTTTTGACCTAACATTTTACATTAACTTCTTCACAGAGGACTGTGAAATCATTACTATCTTAAATGGGACATCTTAGTACTGATTTAAAAAATTACTACTGAGAAAGCGTAATACACACTTTTTTTCAGTTTACCTACTTGAAACAACAGTGGCATCCAGTGGCCAAACATTAATGTGTTTATGTTTCATGTTGTCCATACATAATTACTATATCACATTTTTCTATTTTTTTATTTCCTTGTTTAATTTACATACAAATGAAACAATTGTGTCCTGTTGTGTAATCATATAATTTATGACCAAAACTTATAGCTTAGCATACAAAAATCTATTTAATTGACAAGCAATAATCTAGTAACAGTTCATTTCCCCTCACATCTTCATCTTCTCAATTTATTGCTGATGGTAACTTCTTCCTGATAACTTTTTAAATCAGAGAGATAAAATCTGAACAGAGATTTAAAAATAATGAGTACTTAGATCAAATACTTTGTTGAAATGGTGGAGATCAAAGATTCAATTGGGATGAAGCCATGTTACTGTCAAACACTTTCAACTCCTGCCTATGAAAATCTGACTGGCATCACCTTGTGCTCCGCACAGAGGAGTGTCATGTAATTGTAAAGTATTTTTTCTCCCAGGCTCCAACTTGTAGTGTGCCAAAACTCAAAAATTTGAACAAGATTCTTTTAGTAGAGGTTTATATGTATGGACATGAAACACACGAAAACACTCTGAAGGGATGAAATTCGTTTGACTCTAAATTATCCCATGCCCTGTGTTCAAGTTTTATGCAGTATAGGTAAAAATCTGACCCTAATGTCTATTAGAAAGCTACAACTTCAGTCTGCAAATCCTTTCTGGTTCGATGTCTAATGGAGGGAGAAAGTAGTTTTCAACTACTTCATATATTTATTTAATTTTTAAAGAAAATATCCCAGTTTGGTTCACACTTCTTTTAAGTCCAGCAACATCTAATTTCTGAAATTTCACAGAGTTCCAACCAGACACCTCTTCCTCTGCTAATTTAGAACGAAATTACCATTAAATAGATTCTCTGATCTGGTCAGACTACTGTTTCAACTGCTCACTTCTCTTTTCTTCTAATTCCTGCAGTCTGTGACTTCTATTGTTCCTGTATCAACACTAATTTTTCTTCCTGGGAAGTTAGGAACACTATTGTTACTTTTGCCTTGCTTTGGCACCTCACTGGAGCCAGTCTGATGTGCAACAATTCCTCCACTTCAAGCTGACAAGGCTTGTACTACAATTGCAAGGTGGACCAGCTGTCTGACCTCCTCGACAGCTCTGGCTGGCTTTGCTGGCTTAGAGCTGCACTACAGGGACTTTATCCTCATCTACAGTATGTAAAAGTTTTAATTCAGCAGGGCCAGCTCAATTGGCAGATCCCCCGGTGTTGACTAACCAGGTGGCTTTTGCTAAATGTGTATCCCAATGTTTGAACGTCCCAGCACCCATTGCTCTCAGTTTAGTCTTTAACAGTCCATTGTATTGTTCAATTTTCCCGGAGGCTGGTGCATGACAGGGGATGTGATATACCCACTCAATGCCGTGCTCTTTGGCCCAGGTGTCTACGAGGTTGTTTCGGAAATGAGTCCCTTTGTCTGACTCAATTCTTTCTGGGGTGCCACGTCGCCATAGGACTTGCTTTTCAAGGCCCAGGATAGTGTTCTGGGCAGTGGCATGGGGCACAGGATATGTTTCCAGCCATCCAGTGGTTGAAAAACATGGTGTTTGCCTTGGCGGGTTTGTGGGAGTGTAATATAATCAATCTGCCAGGCCTCCCCATATTTATATTTTAGCCATCATCCTCCATACCAGAGAGGCTTTAACTGCTTGGCTTGCTTGATTGCAGCGCATGTTTCACAGCCATGGATAACCTATGCAATAGTGCTCACAGTCAAGTGGACCTTATGTCAATAGACATTAGGGTCAGATTTTCACCTATACTGCATAAAACTTCAACACCCCTCGATCACGAGCCCATCTATATGTTGCGTCTCTTCCTTGATAGTCTGAGGTGTCATGGGCCCACCGAGCTATAAATAATTCACCCTTATGTTGCCAGTCCAGATCCACCTGAGCCACTTCAATCTTA